TGGGCACTTTAAAAAAAAATATCTACAGTTTGGTTTATATTTTTTTGGGGCACTACAAAATGGCTTCACCCAACCCTTCCAAAAAAGCTTTTAAAAAAAAACGCGTCATTTTGGTTCCATTTCTGGGGGTTAACCCCACCATTTCGTAGAGGAAATTCCAAGGGGGATATATTTTCCATCTTAAATTACCAGAAGGTAGTTCCCCCACAGAAAGGCCCCCTCATAGGATTGACCGGTGCGAGCCGATTCCTGGGCTCAGTGCTATTCTCCCGCACAGCGAGTCACGCCAAACGCACGCGGGAAAGCGATAAACTTGGCAACCTGTCACCCTGTCTCATGCAGAAACAAAATCAACATGTCTACTGAGAATACGGGGGTTTCCATAAATGTTGGTACCCCTAAATCAGCAATTTTAAAAGGAGTTTCCCTTATCAACCGTACATTGAGGGGTACGCCCATTTATGGAAACCTTTTTTTGATGGGCAGTCAAGTCATGAGATACCTTCATGAATCCAAACGACCCACATATAGAGTCATGGGCTTCCACAAATGTTGGTACCCCCCTTCAACCCACCATCCATTTTGGAAGCCAGGCTCCCTTCAGTACTTGACCATACTTGACCAGTTGCATAGCGCAGAGAACCACAGGAAAAAACATACACATTCACTTGGATTCAATTCATTCAATTCCATTGTATTGGCAACACAGGGCATGACAGATTCGCCAATTATGTTGTATCACCTCTTCTTCGGGCATGTTCCGAATCCGCGCGCCGCAAAAGAGCGCGGTCGCGCTGCAGCATTCACTGTACGTTTGTGCCTCGCGGCATCCCAGGTAGATGGCCGGAAAGTCGAAGGATCGGGCCGTTAATTCAGATCATCATAGCACTACCAGGTAGAGAGGGGTGATTTGTTACCTTACATTGTATCGGGGGATACCCCAAGCTCGCTGGTTGGTTTATTTCATGGGAAATCCTAGAACTGGACATTTGTTCTGCTTCTTCTTGAGGGTTACGCCACATAATCAGTCATAATGGTACTCATGAATTCTGAGACTTTCATGTCCAAAAAGGATGTTTGACAGATCACCAACTGCGTTTGATTTTTTAACAACAACAAACTGCCATAACAGGCAACTAACATGCATCTGTCTATGTCCACCAGTTTTTCAAGAGCCATCTGCGCTGGAGAAGTATTAATCAGATTACAAATATCCTGTGGCTATTGCGGCCTCCTTTTTTGTACGTGAACAAATCCACGGATTTTTTGGATATACCATAGTCATTGGTTCTAAACCTATCATGACCTTGCTAGCTTGCAAAACTTAAGGCTAAGGGGTCCAAGGTTGTTGGTCACTGCACTGCATGTCCTAGAGGTAGACCAACGATATCAAAAATAATCAAACAGCAATGTCTCTAATCTTGCAACAGTCGATACTCAGCGAGTTTTATTCCAGAATCCGGGATTGTTTTGTAAAAGTGAAAGATTCCACGCTGCTCAGCAATGCGTTTTTTCAGCTGCTCCTTTCAGTCCTCTGGTTCTGGCTCGCCATCTGTGTCCACTGGTTCAGGCAAGGACTCCACGCGATTTGTCTCCAAAAGATTTTCGCCAGCAATCCTTGGAAAAGAGCAAGGGTGGTAGTCACACGAGAGCCGAAGTTCAGTGAACCACGTTGATATTCGTAAGTACTTGTCTGGAGGAAAGGGAATTGATATCTGTGTGCGCAAAACTCTGGGGAAAAATCACAAGCAGTCAGGTTGATGGTTTTCAAGGTGCACCATTAGTGTCTACCAAGATGCAAAGGCTCGAATGGCCGCAGCACTTCCAAGGTCTTGCGTAGGGCTTCGATTCCTTCCTGCCGGTGGGTGCATGCACGGGCATGAAAAAATTGAGATGCGCAGGGCTGGCACGTTCACTGGAAACCTTTGACGAGGAGTGCATTGTTTGGGAAGGATACTGTCGATAGGGAAGCTCAGTGTCAAAGAGATGTGTGAAATCCGCCGGCTTTCTGGCGTGTTTTGTGGATGTTCTTGTGCTACTGATGGGTGGACGTTGTTTCTTACCCCAGGCAGCCAGAAGTTACCCCATCCCAATGGCACACAGAGTTACCCAGTCCAACCGGAAGTTACCCCAGGGACCAAATCCTATTGGCACACTGGTACCACGCCATCGTTGGTTTGGCAAACAAAATATAAAACATGTGTCCGTGCCATTGCGAACCACATATTTAATACCATCTCCTTTTGTGATAAAACCATGTTGAAAGTGGGCAACCGCCATTGGCACACACGCATTGACAGCCAAACAGCTGCCTTCCATCCAAATGAGAAAAGTAACCAATTCTGCAGCACACGCCCCGTTTCCTTGTCATGACTCTGGACATGGATTCGTTTGATTTCGGTACTTTAATTATCTGTTTCCTAATGGCACACCTAGTGCCAAATAAGTCGTGCAAAGCGTCCCTGACCCGAGCCCCGGCGTGATTCTACGCCATTTACTAGAACTTGCGCCAGCAGCGTGGCACACCGCTTACGCCAAAGATCAATAATCTTCCGCCAGGTGGAAATCCTATTGGCACACCGACAACATCGACCCAGCTCCCAAACTTGAACCCACTGGCACCAAATGGCAGGCACACCGATGTTAGCACAAGATCTGTCGTGCCGCACAAAATCATGGAAATACCCAGGGCCACATATTCTCTTTGACCGAGCATGCCACTGCGTTTGGATGTCACAAGTATCAAACCAAGTAATAAACAAACACGTTTATGACAACCAGTGTGCCTCTGCGTTAAGTGCCCTGCATTTTACAAACAAACAATAAGAGGGTTTATGACTACAAATGGTAGGTTCATGTTGGTGAAATTCAGCGTGCCTATGCATTTTGTGGTCTTACAATAAGCAATGATCCAATGGAATAATAATACCATATGTATCTTTTATACACACTTCCCCACGGCACACCGACCTGAGACAACTTCAGGGGAGACGAGACAAGAAACAACATGAACCCAGTACATTTCTAGCTGAACTAAGCTTAGGTTCAAAGTTGTTTCTCCCATGGATTTGTGAACTTTGATTGGGCCTTTCCGCCTCCTACCGAACTAACCCTCCGCCTGCCTCTTACTACTAGGGACACCTTTCTGCCTCCCTCCCTCCCTCTTCCCCCCCCTCTCCGCGTCCCTCTACCGTCCTGTTCCCATTTCCTGTCTCTCCCCCCTCCTCCTTCATTCTAGACTATAGTCTATAGTTTGTAGTTGCTTGGACTAGTAGGAGTCGTGGTGGCACACGCCACTCCAGTCCTTTCTGTTCCATCTCCACGGTTTTTGACGGAGAAGCTTATACAGACAACCTTTTACACAGAAGAGCTTTTACATAGAGAAGCTTTTGGACAGACAACCTTTTACATAGAAGAGCTTTTACACAGAGAAGCTTTTACACAGACAAGCTTGTACGCGGAGAAGCTTTTACACGGAGAAGGTTTTCCACAGAGATACTTTTACACAGAGAGGCTTGACACAGAGAAGGTTTTACACATTGGAGCTTTCGCGCACAATTCTTGGGTTTGAAAACACATCCCATCACACCTTGAGCCACAGGGGGCCGGCGGAACCCCGAAAGGTTTTTAGATCACGCACCCATTCGGCAACAAAGTCACCACGAGTCCTCCGAGTGCGTGGCCGCACATACAATGGAATGTAGGTGGTGACTTTGGCGTGTCACACCCATTGCCCAGTAAATATGCAATTGCTTCGACTGACGGATGTAGATGTCTGCTGCAAATCTCCAGCTTCTGCAGCGTTGGCTCGAAAACTGCTGCCCCTCCAAGATGGTGACTTCTGCCTTGTGGAGGGCCCACACAGTGGTGGCCTCGCCGTCTCCGAAACGTCGGGCGACTAGCATGGCTAGCGCCATTGGCGCTTGCCTACGGAGCTGAGGAGGCTTACAGTGGGTGAGTAATGCTGTTTGTTTCAATGTGGAATAATTTTGTTTTCACTCGTCTTGTGAGACCCGTTTCGTTTTCTTCTTCATTTTCCTGTAACCATTCTTCTCCGACTTCCTTCCTCGATCTTTTTCCTCGGCGTTGACCTTTCATTTTTTCCAGTGCAAACTTGACTGAATAGCATGTGAGCATGAATCAAACACTTGTTTTTCAATCAAGAACTGCAGGCAAACTTGCAGGTCCATGTCATTCGCAACGGTCTGTTCAAAATGTGTGTCTGGATTAGGTTGGGTGTACCTACTAATCAGCATTTCATCATGAGTCGCGGCAAATCTATCTGTGTTTGGAAGGAGCTAGGCACTAAGAGTGATGCAGCACTTGCAGTGAATCTAGAAAGGACGGTGGCAACGGTAAACCCCAAAGCTCTGCCTCCAGTTTGGGTTGTCATGCGTTGCCACCACGGGTATTCCGAGCACCGTTCCTGATAAGGTCACTGCATCCACCAGCGGTTGCTGCGCCCACACAAGGTCAGGAAAGTGAACATCAGGTGGCGGTGGAGGCGGTCGCCGATCTCCTGGGTACACAATGTTTTTATTGCAGGTGCGGTTGGTTGGTAAAAGTCAGTGTCACTCATTCAAGACTGGTCCGTTTTTTTTGTAGCATACATGGCGATGAACGTACTGTACAAACAAATGGTTTGGTGCGCTTTCACAGGATCACACTGTCACATGTGTGCTTTCACATGAAGCCTTTGATTTTATCATATGGCCTTTCGGAGGAGATCAAAAGAGGAGCTGTCACCGAGACTTTTCTAGAGAGCTTTGATGTTGGATTCCTCCAGAGATCTTTTACAAAGACCTTATAGAAGGTCTTCTTTTAGAGCTTTTCTTGAAAAAAATGATGCAACTGTGGTTTTGGTTTTGGTGTTTTCCTCTCTATTGGATTCTCTTGACAAATAGGTACAGCATGGCTAAGAAGAGGGCTGATTCATGACTGACAATTGTCTGGGCGCAATCATGTTTGTAGCTTATGTTTAGCTAGGTTTCGAGATTGACCATCTGCCGTTCTCTGCGCGAGCATGTCGGTCCAGTGTGCTCCGTTGCTGAAGAATTCAGCGACGGCAACCAGCTTGTCATCCTCCTTCGTCACGTTGGCTATCATGTCGGAATACGCTTGGAGCCCGGTGTCCGTGAGCGCGCATCCTTGCCACAGCTCCTGGGTCAGACACCACGTTTTTTCATGACACCTTGCCTTAAAAGACAACCATTGTCTCCAAGGGTCTGTGTAAGGCATGGTGTCTGGATGAGGTAATGTGTAAAGCATGGTGTCTTGATCATAGAGGCATGGTGTCTGGATCATGCAGGCATCTGGATGGAGTTCGTATTTCAACGAAGTATTCGACATGCGGCCAAGGTTCAGCTCTTGGCAACTCATTCATCAGATGCCGCCACTCAGCGCTGATGGTGGGGGGGCGAGGAAACCCGTTCACCAGATGCAACTCTTGGCCAGCTCTTGAAAGAGCTACTGCCAACTTGCCAACATCTAAGAGGCTGCCCACAGGGGTCTCTTCGTGAGCGCACCCTCAGCTGCCAGGAATGAGTGAGCAAGCAATCAGTCAGTTAGCCAGTTAGTCTGTCACCTAACTAGGCAGCGATCCGTTCAATCAGTTAGTTCACTTGTCAGTCGGCCAGTGAGTTCGGCAGTCAGTCTGCGGTCTATGAGTCATTCAATCTGCCAAGCCTTCATCTAAAACTCAACTCAAACATCCGAACCCCTGGCTGGAACGTCTATCACAGCTTTCGTGCTGCGTTGCTAGAGTCCGAATGCATTTTGGGAAGACAGACTTTTTAGGCTGCAGCTAAAGCGAATATCTTTGTGTCCACATTCCGATCCATGCTGTGTAGCAATTATTTATTGTACACGATTGAGAAGTTGGCACAGTTGGCAGTAAGAATTTCCTTGAAGGATTATCTAAGATATGACAAATAAGCCCACCATTTCTTATTTCCAGCAGCCCTTCACATGTTGGGCTCATGTTGTGCTGTTGTTTCTGCTGATTGTTTTTTGTTTAGGCAACATTCAAACCACAGGCACAACACATTCAAAGCATAAATGAATCCGGTGCAAACCATTTTCAGAATATGAACGTCTAAAAGAATGGTTCCGAAATGGAAACCCTTTCTTGAGTTGCGCCATATATGTGGGTCCCAAACATGGAGCTAAAGCGGGCTAAGGGGCTAAGGATGGCTAAGGGGGGCTGGCATTGGCAAACGCATTTACAACAGAATTTTTCATCACCAGGCCTTTTCTTGAGTTGCGCATTTATGCGGGTCCCAAACATGGAGCTTCAGCAGGCCGAGGGGCTAAGGATGGCTAAAGGGGGGTTTGGCATTGGCAAACGCATTTACAACAGAATTTTTCATCACCAGGCCTTTTCTTGAGTTGCGCATTTATGCGGGTCCCAAACATGGAGCTTCAGCAGGCCGAGGGGCTAAGGATGGCTAAGGGGGGGTTGGCATTGGCAAACGCAGTTACAATCAGAATGTCCTCATCACCAGGCCCTTTCTTGAGTTGCGCCATTTATGTGGGTCCCAAACATGGAGCTTCAGCAGGCTGAGAGGCTAAGGATGGCTAAGGGGGGCTGGCATTGGCAAATGCATTTACAAACAGAATGTGCTCATGACTGAACCCTTCCTTCAGTTGCGCCATCTATGTGGCATCTTTTGGTTAGGTCAGTTGAGGGATGTTGGGGGGCATGATGGACTTGCGCCATGTATGTGGGCATTCCTAGTCTGAGTTTGGCGAATGAGTGGGACTTGCGCCATCTATGTTCCCAAAGCCAGATTGACGTGGAGAAAAAAAGTGCGGGCGATCCAGCGCAGAGGATTCCAAAAAATAGCTCAATCTCAGGCACATGAGTGGCTCAAGTACTTGTTTGCAAACTGGAGTTGAGCCATCTATCCCCTGTATTTACCCTACCACATAGATGGCGCAACTCAAGAATTTGTCCCATCTATATCCACCGGAGAGTAAATCTGCCGTACCAAGTTTCTTGGCAGAAGGAGCACGATGGCTGCTTGGCACTCGTAGCCGCGGCTTTGGCGTACCGTCAATGCATCCACCGGCCTTTGGAGCCTTAGGTTTGCGATGAAGGCACGCAGCATGTTCTTCTGGGCGCTGTACCAGGTCAGGACACTTGCCGTCTGCCATCGCTGGATTCGATGGATGAGACACTCCACAGCACCGTAGAGCTCCTCTGAGTGGATTCCACCGATGCCTGCTGTGTCGTGTTGCCGGTAAGACCTCTCGACAGCGCAGATGTGCGCTGGGCGACAGTTACTGCTTCACTAATTCGTAGATGACAGGCAGCGGAGCAGGAACTCGATGATGATGATGATGATGATGATGATGATGCTGGTGGTGGTGGTGGTGGTGGTGGTTTTGCATCCATAAAGAAATGTAGATCTGTGGGAATGTTGCAACTGCGACCAAAATATGCGTATCAGGGGCATTACAGGAGAAGGAAGAGCAAGACCAACACTGGCATCATCTCCACAAACAGCAGGAGAAATAGGGAGGGGGCTCCGGCATATGCGCCTAGGTCTACATAGTAGGTGATAACTTTATATACCTGTGTGACTTTCTATATCTATCTACCACTTCACATTAAACTTCATTAAACCGTGTTAGATTCATCGGCTACTGCATCTCGAAGGCTTCTGTTGAAGGCTTGGTGTGAATGAAAATTGAAAATGGTCTTTCTTCTGATGGTGTGGTTTGTATTTGGCTTTTCTTCACCCCTGGCCTTGTCTCGGCGAGCTGCCAGACATGGACCATGGTGTCATGACTCGCTGAGCTCACTAGGTTCCTGTAGCAGCTGATGCTGCTTGCCAGCAGGCGGGCGACGCTGGGTCCCAAGCGATAGGTAGTGTCCAGCGAGAGCCTCGAAGGATGGACCCTTCCAGTTAGTTTGGTTTGCTTCTGCTCTGCAAGCATCAAAACGGATTTCGTGAGTGAACGGGAATTTTTTTAAACTTGTAGTTTGTAGCCCATCAAACAATTCTAAACGGTGATCATGACAGGGAAGACGAAGCTTTGTGGCAGCCCCGAAGTAAGTTGGCGGGTGGCTCTTTTATTTTTGGATGGTTGACAAAAAATATTATTACATAGTTAGGCAGTCAGTCCATGGGTGTATCAGCATAATTTGTGAACTTATTTCTGGTGCAATCACGCCTGGCAGCCCGGCTGAAGGCTAGAAAATCTGCAGCGTCTATCTTGTCCGTCTCTGATGACTCAGGTTTCCAATTCACTGGTCGCATATTTTGGCCAGGATCGTGTATCCCGATCATTGCTTTGCATCGTGAGCTGGCTGCCACGAACTCCTCCACCGACAGACTGTTGCACTCGTCGATGATGAGGAGTCCCATTTCGGTGTTTGCAAACAACCGTTTTGCAGTAGTCCTGTGGAGAAAAAATGCTTCAACATGTATATGGGACCAATGGAGAACATGGCTTGCAGACCAAGCAGACAATGAAGAAATCATTCTGTGAAACACAAGCACCCTGTGAACTTAGGGCTCATATTAGCAAGATTTCCCTGCCTTTCGGCAGCCAGTAGCTTCAACACGAATGCGTGCGTGCACGCCACCACACGCTTGCCAGAGAAGTCACACTGCGTCATGCAGTAGAGTTGGAAGACTGCTCGGTGATGCTGCGCCAGCAGCGCAAGCCAGTGCTGCCACGGCATCCTGACAAGAATGTTCGGGAAGGATTTGGATTTCAGATCATATGACTCAGGAGTTGTATAACATAGAGTTTGATTACAAAAGTTCATATGATCAAAGCTGTGCGGAATTGTGCATTGACCCCTTTAAAACCGTATGGCTTGTGCGTCCACATGTACAGTTTGCAGCTACGTCCAAAGGGGACAAATCAGTTGGAGTCTCTGGCGATGGACTAGTTATACATTTTTTTTCCGGGAATCAATGCCGGCAGACTTGAGGCCTCCTTTCGAGCTGTTCTTCATACTGCTGGATGCGAGCGATCAAGTTTGGGTTCTGCTCCTCCAGAAGTCGCAATGTCTCCAGATACAAGACATCGTTGTGATCCGCGTCTTGCCCTACACGGACACATGATGGGCCCAGTCGCTTCGCTAGCTCATCGCGAAGAATCTTGGTGGGCGCGGCCAAGATATGTCGGCAGCGAGTCTGCTGCATCCTGCAAGATTCGATAGCAAGCCGTGGAACTATGACTCTGGGTGTCTTCTTGATGTTTAATTTTCTTTAACTTCGTGGCAGATGGAGAAAATGGCCGTGGGACGCAAAATGGTAGGACCCTAGTTTTGACTCACAAGGATTTTTTGTGCGACCCACTTGGATATATTTGTTTGGTTATCGGTTTGCTCACAAACTATGGGCACACAATGTTTCATGATTTGATTATTTGATTGGTTGAATTTCTTTCAACTGTGGGTCTTGCAAACCTTTGAGAAGTAAGAACATGAGGGCAACTCAGCGATGGTTGGGTCCGAGGCACAGCAGTTGCAACACCTTAACGGCCGCAGTGCTTTTCCCGCAGCCCGGACCAGCTTCGATAGTGGCAGCCACACATGAGGTGATTGCACCAAGCTGTTCTGGAAAGCATTCTTGTAGCACCGAGCATAGAGCGCCGCCAATCAAATCCTGCAAAATGAAAGGAGTCCAAACCAAATTGGGCAGCAACAGCGTGTTGTGACACCGTCCAAGTTGCAAGACAAGAAAGTCACGTGGTTGATTGTGATTGTTACTTCAAGGCAAATGTTTCTTGAGATTCAAATCGGGGCATGTTGTAATCTGCAAAGCAAATCAAATGAAGTTGATAAGGTCCCACTTGTCCTCCTCTTCGTCCGACTGACCCAGGAAGCTTCGCCAGAAAGGGCTGCCCAAGGTATCCAACCTGGACAAGATTCTCCACGTCCAACGAAACTGCTGAACGCTTGCCAAGACCACCAAGATGAACTCTGTGTCAGCAGCTGGTGTTGGTTTCAGCACAAACTTACTGTTGTCGGTCGAGGAGCTCTCAATTTCGGTCCACTGTCCAATTGCCATGGCGATTGGCCCGTTCAGCTGTCCAAAAGTGTCAAGATCGGATCTTTTGGCGATCCATCCCATGTGCGCCTTGTAAAAGGACGCAGGCAAGTCTTCTCTGGGAGCTAGTGCGAAGGCAGTGCCTTTGCTGTCTGTATGAACTACGAAGGCTGCAGATACAGTTCCTTCTCGTACATGTTGTTTGGTCAAATCTCTGAGGTGCCGCAGCATCGCCAAGTAAAGAAGATGGAACCTGAAGAAGATTGAATTTGTCAGAAAATGAAAACATCTTTCCAAAGCCAATGCGCAGGGACCTAGGGCCTATATCTTGTCTCTTGTGTTCTCCTGAATTTGAATCTAGGTTGAATCCACCCCTCAGAGTGGCACATCATTTTAGCCTTTGCCCGGCTCTCATTCTACGTCAATGTACTTCAACCAGTGCAACGGGTACTATTCGCCAAAATTTCTCCGAACAATGACTAGAACTGAAACTGTCCATTATAAAGGAGGCCCGCGAGAGGGGGACGTGGCCTAGAATCTTCATCCTGACTATAGTTGACTTTGCGCAGTACGTCAGTACATCGATATACTTCCATCTATGCCACGGGTATGAACAATGAAAGGGCCGGATCCAACCCATTGTTAATTTCTTACAATGCGTATCAAAAGAGATGCGAAGACGAGAGGGTGTGACGGATTGTGTGAAAGAGCTGTGTGTGTGTGTGTAACATCTAAATAGATGTAAAGCTTGTCTATTTTTCTTTTTTTTTTCCTCTCCCCTTCTAATAATAATGCAGGGGGCAGAGGGATCTCCAGATGTGGCCTCTGCCAACGAAGCTCCACACTGGATGATCAGGTAAACGTACCTGCTTTTTATTATTTATCGAAGGAAGTTTAGAAGTCAAACTTCCGACAATATGGACAGATGAAAAGCAGAGTAGGGAAGAGGCAGAGAGAAGAGAAAGATTAGAAGAAAGAAGAGTAGAAGAGAAAGAGTCAGAAGAAAGAAGATGCCGATGCGTGAAAAGGTAGGAAAGTTGCAAAACACTGTGTTTTTCCAATGATTTGAGGCTCCGGAGGTCGAAAAGTAGGCTCGCTAAAGCGGCGGGTGCGGAGCCAGCTGGCCAGATGAGAGATGAAAAATTGCACGCCGTTGTGGCGCGAAGCACATTTCCAAGTCAAAATGCACAAAACACACTAGGTCCGGACCACTTTTGGCAGTTGAGATGTCGAAAAAGTGCACGCCGTTGTGGCGCGAAGCACATTTCCAAGTCAAAATGCACAAAACACACCAGCTCCGGACCACTTTTGGCAGTTGAGATGTCGAAAAAGTGCACGCCGTTGCGGCGTCAAAATGTACAAAACACTAGGGGTTCGGACCACTTTTCGAGGTTCAGATGTCGCTTCGCTTCAAGACACTACACTACAGGACATTAATTACACTACACTACACTCCAGTACACTACATTACATTACACTACACTCCAGTACACTCCACTACACTAAATTACACTACACCACACTACATTACATTGTCCGTTGCTGCTTGGAAAAAAAACACACTGCGGCGACACCGTGAGGGAGACATGTCAGAGGGATGTGCTAGATTTCGTCATGCGTTTGTAGTCTGTTGTGTTAACACTGTAGGAGCTGTTGAAGTTTCAATTTAGGAATATGAGGATCGTATCAGTACACGGTAGATGGATGGATTCGGATTCGGATGGATGGATGGATGGATGGATAGATAGATAGATAGATAGATAGATAGGTAGATAGATAGACAGGTAGACAGATAGACACCACTGCACTACATTACACTATCTTCCACTACACTTCACTACATTACACTACACTACACTCCACAACACTACAACTACAACTACACAACTACACAACTACACTCCACTACACTACACTACACTCCACTACACACCACTACACTACATTACACTACACTACATCCCACTACACTACACTACAACTACACAACTACACTCCACTGCACTAAATTACACTACACTACACTACATGACACTACACA